AGAGTACCTAAGAGGCGCTAATAAAAGCTCTATTACTAGATACTATACTTACTAGTCTAGAGAAGAGGTATAAAGCACGCAGAGTAATAGAATATATAAATAATAATAAGCTTCTACACGCGAAAAGAGAGAAAGGTAAGCTATTATTAGCACTATACACTTATATAGCTTAGATTAGCACTACTAGGCTAAGTTAGCTAAGCTAGGTAAACCTAATTCTCTTAACCTTATACGTAGAAGGTTCTATTTAATAGTACTTATATAGAGTTACAAAATAAGAAAACTAGTATTATTTTCTATGTTACTAGACGTAGAATTAGCACGTCTGCGATTGTCTTATACTTCTACTCTACTATAGATTTCTACTTCTATCTGCGTATTAGTACACTAATAATAACAAATACTACTAATTTATAGAGCTCTCTAATAATAATATACCTACTTAAGGCTATTCTTGTAAGTCTCTACCTTAAAACACTAGCCTTTCTAAGTAGTATAATAACGACGTTATTAAATTTAGAGCTCTAGCTTTCTAGAACTTACTTAGGTAACCTACTACGCTTTAACGTAAAGCAAAAGCTACTAGCTCTATCTTATAATACACGCAGCTATTATAGTTAAAGACCTATACTAAATATAAGTCTAATTCTGCAGCTAAAGTAACGCTAAAGAAAAAGACTAGATTAGTAGAAAAGCTATTAGCTAGCACTACTATCTATAAGTATATACATGTACTCTATACCTACTAACTAATAGATATATAGCTATTAGTAGTGCTAATAAGTCTAAGTTCTCTAAGTTAGACTAGTCTAGCAAAGACAACGCTTCTAATACAACTATTACTAACTATAACAAAATAGAGGTAGAGTTATATAATAAGCTATTGCAAGACTATAATAATTGCAACCTCTTCTACACACCTCTTTATAATAATATACATTCTCTATACTTACCTATATTTATAGCACCTACTTCTAATATATTCTTATAAGCTACTATATTCTCTCTACGTAGTAACACGCCTTCTACTACGCCTACATTAATAGTGTTATCTTAATTATTGCTATTCTACTCTAGAGATAAGCCTATAGCAAGTAAGCTCTTACTTAAACTATAAGAAACACCTCTATCGTCTTAGCCTAATACATAGTTACAGCGTCTATAAACTCTATCTTTTCTAACCTAGAATACGTATTAGTAGAGCTAGTACAAAGACACCTAGCTAACGTAGACTACTAACTTCTAGATAATATAAGCTACTCTTATATAATTAGAAGCGAAGATTATTTAGACTAAGAAGATAATTAAAGCTATAATTAATGTTTACTATAACGCTAGATAGAAGAACAATTACGCTAAGACTACTAACTAAGTAGTAGATAAACTTAGCTATCTTTATACCTTTACAGCTTCTTAAGTCTATATAAAGATGTAAGAGATTAAGAACTAAGTGTATATACGCTATAAGATTTTTAAAACTAATAGTAGTATAATAAAAGCTAATAATAGTCTTTGTATTAAGTTCTATAAAAGCTAGAGTAATAGAGTCTCTAAGCGTAAAAAAGCTCTAGAGTACTAGTAGAGAAGAAACTACTACTTGCGTAAGCGTATTAACTATATTAAGAATATCTTTAACGCTAAGACTACTATAGAAGAGTATACTAGACTACACTACAGCGTTTGTAAGAGACTACAGAATTCTTTATTATCTATTTAAGACGAGCCTTCTAGCTTCTAGTACTCTACTATAAGTAATAAGTAACTAATAAAGGCTCTACGCAGAATAAAACCTAATAGTACTATTCTTAATAATAATAATGTTATAGGTTCTACTACTTCTGCTAGTACTCTTAGCACTACATAGTCTACTATTAGATCTAAGCCTTCTTGTAGAATATAGATTAGAGACGTATACACTAGGCTTAAGCTTACTATAAGTACACTTTATAAGATTAGTAAAACTATATATACCTATAATCTCTATTATTACTATATATAGGCGATTAAACGTTTACAAGACTATTATAATAACTACTTACTCTAGAAGTAATATAGACTAGAAAGAAATATATAGAACTATATAAGAGCTATCTATTACGTTACTTAGAATAAAGCTAATGTCTTAGTTATTATAGTAGTATCTATACTAGAGCTTATAAGGTAGATTAAATATATAGGCAAAATAGAGTAGTATATACTAGTACGCTTTCTTATTCGCAAGCTATATTATTATACTAAACTAGTAGTAAAAGCCTACGTAGAGGGCGCTGTAAAGACGCTTAAATCTAGTATTCTTTAGAATAAACTAATTGTTACTAACTATAACAAAGCAATAGCTTACTAGAAGATAATCTAGGCTCTCTAAGCTCTATAATAGAGTAACTCTCTTCTATATCTATAGAAGAATACTAATAATAAAGAAGAAGGTACCTTATTAGCTACTACTGCAAAGTCTCTTAAAGTACTCGCTTGCGACTCTAACTATAGTATAGATCTAGAGAAGTATTACGCTCTTAGTAATAATAGATCTCTCTTACTAGAATATCTCTATAGCTAATAATTCTATAAAGACTAAAGTAACGCTGTTAACCTCTCTCTATATATAAGACAACGTTAAGATATACTATGCTAGAAATAGTACGCTTTCTATAACAATAATAACAAGTTTAAGCCTCTTTAGTATACTATAATATAACTATACTACTAGTAAATACTAAAAATATATTTCTTAGTTCTTTATATATTTAGTATTAGATATAACGTAGAAATAAATAAGCCTGCTATAACACTACTCTAGTGTAATATGCTTCTACTACAACATTCTAAACTTATTATATTATAGACCTATATGCTGTTTAGCGAGATAGTGCTTCTATATTACACTAGCGATAATATCTTACCTTCTTATTATCTCTCTAGCTTTTTTATTAACTATCTACTCTATAATAGCTTCTTCTACTTACTATATTATCTCTTTAGCTACTACTAAAATAGAATTATTCTCTAGTTTGTCTATAGTTACATTGCTAGCTCTCTTAACTCTTTTGTTAGAGTAGCCTAACTTTATTACTCTTAGAATATCTTGCTTAAGTCTATTATAGAGCTTCTAGCTTGTAATAAAGTTATTAAGCGCTATAGTTACTTTAGTAAAGAGTATCTACTTCTTAATTATATACTTAGGTCTGTGTATAATACGCTATATCTTCTAACGCTACTTAAAAATACCTTAAAGTTATTTAATACTTATATAGAGAGACAAATAGCGTATGTTAAAGAGCTTCTTTTTACTATAAGCGTTTTAACTTATAGCGCTTCTAGCAGACTTAGTAAGATAGTACTAAGTGTTAGAGTAGAGTGTTATTATAATAGAGGTAAGAGAATACTCTAAATCTATAAGAAAGTACTTATTATAAGGTAGTTTAAGATTATAGAATAATACTGTGTATTTAAACACTCTTGCGTTATGTACGCAACCTTTCTACCTAGCTATATAATAGATAAATATATAATTAAAGTTACACGCTCTAAGTATATTCTAGGTATAAAACTACTTGCAATAACGCTATACCTTCTTATTACTAATACTTAGTAGAATATAAGCGCGTAGAAACGTACTATCTATAGCACCTATATAATTCTAGAACTATAGGTAGAACTTTATACTACGCTAAAGCTAAGGTAGAAGAGTAGTATTACTACTAGAGAGTTATACAGCCTTCTTAAATAGAGTATAAAGCTCTTATAGACACTTATTTATAATATAATAGGTAGTAGCCTTTAAATGCCTCTAGTATTAAGAGCTAGAATCTACTATATTAGCGTAACTATAATAGTAGAGAAAGATAAGTAACTTCTTATCTAGTTCTACTATAGTCTTATACTTCTACTTTAGTCTACCTAGCGTAGTATTGTGTATACACTATTTATATAGCCTCTAAAAGACAACCTTATCTATTCTTATAGCTATACAGAACTAGTAATTAGATCTATCTAGTAGATGCGTAATACAATCTTAGTAAAAGAGTAGATAAGATTATAGACTATAGCTACTATAATTTAGTAATAGAGCTGCCTATACTATAACGTCTATAAGTATTATAGCTACTACTCTAATAGTCTATAGTAGTAGACTATTTATATTCTCTACGCCTAGCTCTTCTATATTATTATTCTTATACGCGACAGCGCTATCTAGTATAGTGTTTTCTACGTCTAATATATATAGAAGGCTATTAACACTGTAGTTGTAGTTATTAGAGTTAAAGTTAGATCTAGAGTTAATATATATGTTAGCTATACTATAAACGTAGTAGTAGTATAATATTATTATTATTTAGCAGAATAGTTAATAGACCTTAGAATACCTTAAACCTTATTATAAGCGCTAGCAGTAATACAGGCTATTTACGTTACTACTATAGATTTTCTAACTTTTCTGCTTTAGAACTCTTTCTCTACTAACCTCTATTATAATATAGTAGTATAATATGCAAGAATAGCTAAACATTTATAGGCCTATACTAGTAGTATAATATAATAGCTTAAGCTGCTGCTCTTCTCTACGTCTATAATAGTATAATAAAAGAGGCTATGCAGACGCAACTAGCACACATCTATACACTAATAGTAGTATAATATAGCTAAGTAGGCGCTGTCTATTTACACGATTACCTATAGCAGTATAATATAACCTAACTATACCTATACGCTTATAGTAGTATAATATAGTTATCTACGCGCTACTTATTCTTACGCTTACCTACAGTAGTATAATATAAGCTAACTATACTTATACGTATATAGTAGTATAATATAATATTATATAGAGGCGCTACTATAATCTATATCTTTATATATATAGTAGTATAATATAGATACTACTATCTATTAAGAGGTAGTGTTAGAGAGCCTATCGCGAGCAACTTAGCTATACTATTTATACCTACACTATATCTTATTTATATACTAACTAATGTAGTCTTTCTTTATTAAAATAATCTAGATAGGTAGCTTAGTAGTAGAGCGCTATAGACTTATATTAGTAGATAGAACTTAGCTTAGGTTATTTTACTTTCTATATACGCTTACTGTCTTATTATAATATCTATTTATAGAGATTCTAGGTTTAATCTCTAGCTTATCTATTCTTCTTTTTTACTTTTTTTTACTCTTTTTTTTTTACTTCTCTATTATAAGGTTTCTCTCTACACATAGCTGTAGTAGTATAATACCTAAGAGCTTCTTAGAGGTAGTAGCTCTACGTAGTAGTATAATGCCTAAAGGCTTCTTAGAAGAGTAGCAGCTCTAAGAGCTTCTTAGAGGTAGTAGCTCTACGTAGTAGTATAATACCTAAGAGCTTCTTAGAAGAGTAGTAGCTCTAAGAGCTTCTTAAGAAAGTAGTAGCTCTAAGCAGTAGTATAATACCTAAGAGCTTCTTAGAGAGGTAGTAGCTCTAAGCAGTAGTATAATACCTAAGAGCTTCTTAGAGAAATAGCAGCTCTAAGTAGTAGTATAATATCTAAGAGCTTCTTAGAAGTGTAGTAGCTCTACGCAGTAGTATAATATCTAGAGAGCTTATTTAGAATAGAAATAGCTCTGCGCGGTAGTATAATATCTAAAGAGCTTATTTAGAATAGAAATAGCTCTACGCAGTAGTATAATACCTAGAGAGCTTCTTAGATTAGAATTAGCTTTGCGCAGTAGTATAATACCTAAAGGCTTCTTAGAATAGAAACAGCTCTACGTAGTAGTATAATATCTAAAGGCTTCTTAGAATAGAATTAGCTTTACGTAGTAGTATAATACCTAAAGGCTTCTTAGAATAGAAATAGCTCTGCGCTACAGTATAATGCCTAAGAGCTTCTTAGAATAGAAATAGCTCTAAGCAGTAGTATAATACTATATCTATATAGTAATTAATTTACTATATATTTAATAAGCGCCTAAATTAAGCATTCTACTACTATATATACTTATCTAGCGTAAAAAAAGTATACAACAAAAGCTTTAATTATATAATAGAACTACTCTCTATAATTAGATAATAATAGAATATATTCTACTACTTTTTAAATATATTATATACTTTTAGCGTATTCTACTACTATTATATAAATTACTAGTTACTAAACACACGTATATAATAAATTGTATTACGTTATATCTTAGTATTATACTAGTATTTGCGATTACTAAACAGGTAGCTATATCTTATCTAACTATTAGATTTTTATAAGTAACTATAGCCGCTAGCTAGTTAGAGTTATTAGAGGCAGAATAAGGCGTAGGCAATAGTTAGATTAGATAGAATTATTCTCTACATAGCTTAGTATACTATATATAGAAAAAAACTAAAATCTAGCTCTAGAACGTATTAATAATATATTTATATCTTATCTTTATAGAAACTATAGAGGCGCTAGTACTCTCTCTACTAGTATTTAACGCTAAGTAGCTTAAAGTACCTTTACTACTCTTTAAGAACGCGTTTAAGAACCTAGATATAGCCTTCTTAGACCTTAGAATAGCTAATAATATACTAAGTAAGAAGAGTAACTCTAAGCTAATTTAACCTATATACTACCTACAACGTCTTTGTATTACGTTCTTAATATAATTTAGAAGAACTCTATTCTACTCTTTATAGATAGTAATAGTAGCCTAGACCTAATAGTAATATTATATAAGTATATTATAAGTATACTAATATAGCCTAAAAGTACACTAGGTAGCTACGCATATATTATCTGCCTACTACCTACCTATATAATATAGAAAGATGCCTTAGGCAAGGCTATTAATGTAAGAGGCCTAAGAATGTAATATTAATATATTTCTAATATAATCTAGTTCTAATATAGAAAGGCCTAGAAATATAAAGAGCGTATATTCTCTTTACTCTTCTTAAATATAATTACATAACATTAGAAGTATATTTATATAGGTATTAAGTATTATACTATACTTACTAAGCTACTTAAGGCTTATTATTATTTTAAAATTATACCTAAGGTAGAGAATATACTTAAAAGTCTAAAAGATACTATTATACCTAATAATAGAATAACTCGCTAGAAGTAGGTAGCTAGGTATATTTAACGTATACGCAACGTATTTTTAACGCACTTATACTAACTTTAAAGGCTCTACGCTGTAACTCTTAGACGCTTTATAGGTAGTAGATTTTATAGTAACTAGTAACTAAACTATAGACCTATATACTTCTAATAGTAATATAAAGTAAAAGACACTATAGATAGAAATACGTTTATAACACGTAGTAACTAAGTTATAGAGTCTTACTAGTAATAAACCTTAGTTTATTAAGTGTACAGCTTAGATACATAAACTTAGATATACTAAGAAGCACGTCTTCTACGCTATTAGTTCTAAAATAGACTTAGAATACCTTAAGAACTTGTTTAATAATAGCTCTCTAGTAGAGAAAGATAATAAGAGAGTATATAATGCTATAGTATTAATATCTACTAGAACTCTAAGATATAGTAAGTAACTTTATACTATATTACGTTTAGCGTATATTTATAATACGTTTTAGAATATAACTACCTCTATAGAGATAGATAGCTAGTTAAATAAGCGTATAATAAGGCTAAGTACTACATTATAATTCTAGTAGATCTAGTATCTTATCTATATATAATTATAACGTGTTATAGAGAGTATATATATATCTCTTCTTCTTCTTTAATTCTAAGCAAAGATCTAAAGGCTAAGCTTCTTATAGTTATTCTTTCTATATTAACTCTAGGCCTTATATATAGTAAGTCTACTCTCTACACTTCTATAATATGTTATAATAATGTTCTAATTACGTTTAGCTAAGGCTTTAGCGTTTTTCTAAGTCTAGGTATAGGTTAAGAGTAAAGGCTTTAGGTCTATTAAGAAGATATATATTATACTAGTAAATAAAGATAAAATTAGAAGCTTACTTAAAACCTACAAAGCTATAATATACCTCTATAGCTCTAGTGTAGAAGGCGTTGTATATAAGCTTAGAACTAAGCATTAAGACTTAGCTATAGTAAGCAGCTAGTAACACGCTAAAAACGTGTTTCTAATATAATATAGGCGTATATTTAATAAATATGCTCTACTAACAATAGCACATTTATATACTACTTTCTTAATAAGTAAGCTTCTCTATTACTTTAATAGAATACGTTCTAGATAGATATATTATATAAGCGTATCTATAGTAAGTAGTCTAAGTTACTCTTTACTATCTTTAATAAAGATACTATAAAATATAGGTAAAAGTATGTTAACGCGCCTATATTACGTTCTAAATATAATATAGTAATCTTCTTTAGAAAGGTTATTATAGATATTAATTCTATAGAAATGTATATAAAGGTATTTACTAAGTTCTTTAAGCTCTATTTAGAGGTATTAGAAAAGCTAATTTACTTCTACTATCTTTATAGAGATAGTATTATAGATATTACTATTAATATAGATAATAAATAGTTATAAGGTTAGTTATATTTTACTAGATTGCGTTAAGAATACGTTACTAACATAATTCTATAGGCTAGAGACTCTTTCTCTAAGAATTTTTAGAAGTTAACTATAGATAGAAATAGTATTATCTCTACATAGTTTACTTATATAAAGCTTACTTTCTCTATAGTATTAACTGCGCTATTTCTAACGTAGAGTATATAGAATACTCTATTTAGAGGTATATAAAGGCTCTTCTTTATTATAAATTACTAGATAAGTATTATACCTATATTAAGCTTCTATAAGGTATAAAACTTCTTTTAATTGCGTATATAACACGTTCTTACAACATAGTAGAGAATAAATCTAAAGTAGTTATAGATTAGGTAGCTTATAAGATATACTTTATTATTATAGATAGTCTTATAAAGTATAATAACTATATAGAGTAACGTATTTAGAACTTATTAGAGCGCACTTTTAACGTAGCTAAGTAAGCTAGCATAAAGTTATATTATAATAGAATTAATAAGACTTTACTTAAGACTATTCTAATGTAAGTACGTTTAAATATATTAAGAACATACTAGTAACATATTATAGCTTCTATAAGCAAGACCTCTAGAATATAAAGAAATATAAAGTAAAAATAGTCTATAGTATCTACTATAAGAATAGATTACGCTATAGTTATATATAGAGGTACTTTAAGGCTATAGAAAAAGAAAGTAAGTCTACTACGTATAACGTATTTTATACGTAGTCTTATTAAGTTTAGAGTAGAAATTAGAGTACTAGAACCTTATTATTATTAATAATAATAATAGTATCTTAGAGTAGGCTAATTTATCTAGTTTTATTATATAAAGTAGATAACTAAGAGGCAGAGGCTGTAGGCGCTCTTCTCTAGCCTACTCTTCTCTAGCCTACTCTTCTCTAGCTTACTTCTCTCTAGCACTAGAAGCTAGCCTAGAGTAGGTCTACTATATTGCGTTTTTATTATGTTTCTAATACGCTCTTAGGCCTAACTCTTCTTAAGCTCTAAGATAGTAGGCACTTAAGAGTAACTAGGCTATTATAGAGAGAAAAGCGCTCTTAGAAATTAAAAGAGAGAAGATAGAGCTATAGAAGTAAAGGCTGCAACTAGAGAAATGTAAGGTAGAACTAGAAGAGCGTAGATAGTAGCTTTAGAGAGATAACTCTAGCTAAATTATACTATAAACGCGTTCTAATTATAATCTAGTATAGTTACTATATATACTAGAGTTTATAGATAGAATACTAGCTAGTAGAACGTAATAGAAATATGTTACATATATAATCTAAGCCTATATTAATCTTTACCTAATATAGTAAGGCGTAATAAATTTTCTTTTACTAGTCTAGCTTCTTACCTTTCTTTAGAGTTAAGTACCTACCTACTACTATTCTTTCTCTCTCTACCTTCTCTCTTTACTCTACTATAGAACTTAAGACTATATATTAGTATATAAGTCTTCTAATAACGCGTTTCTAACGTAATCTAATTATATTTAGAATAACTATTTATAGTATAGCTAACTTAGTGTTCTTTCTTAAGAGATACTACTATTTAGTAAATAGAATAGAAGTAGGTATTACCTTATCTACTAGAGAGAGATCTTCTATTACGCCTACTATTACTAGCTTAATAGGCTAC